CACACACACACACACACACACACACACACACACACACACACACACACACACACACACACACACACACACACACAGTGGTCATGTGACCTGTGTGTGTTGACCAGTTTAAATGCTGCGGAGTGATCTACTTCACTGATTGGCTGGAGATGACAGAGATGGAGTGGCCTCCTGACTCCTGCTGCTCCAATCAGTATCCAGGCTGCGCTCGCCACGCCCACTACCACGACCTGAGTGACCTCCACCAAGAGGTGAGACACGGCCACCTCTCAATGGAAGAGACATGCCACGTGTTCACAGAGGTCAGAGGTCAAACTGACCATGTGTGTCTCCGGTGTGTTTCAGGGCTGCGGTCCAAAGATCTACAGTTTCATTCGTGGGACAAAGCAGTTGCAGGCATTGCGTTTCCTGGGTGTGTCCATTGGCGTAGCTCAGATCCTGGCGATGGCGCTCACCCTCACGCTGCTCTGGGCACTTTATTATGGACGAACGTCTCCAGGCCTGGACTCCATGACGCCCCCGATGGACTCCACCCCTGACACTGTGACGCATGGAGCCTCAGCTGAAGCTTCAGGCAGCAACAAAACTAACATGTCCGCTGCCTCCGTGCCGCAGGAACACCATTTTGAGATGGAGCGCCTGTCGTAGCCGTGGGGACAAGCAGGAAGTGAAGTCTGAGATGTGTTAACATGTGACATCATCAGGTGACGAAACAGAAACTGAGGAAAACACGACGTGAGAAAAAAACGTAAAAACCAATGAGACATTAAAAATCAGTGAAATCAACGAGAGATTTAGAAACAACAACCTGTCACATGACGCTCCTCGTGAGTTTGAAATAAAGAACACGACTAAAAAAGACCAGAGGTGGAACAACCTTTACCATTAATGACACCTGCAGCTGTGAACACGCCAGGAACACGTTGTGAACACGCCAGGAATACGTGAACATGTCAGGAACACGTTGTGACTATATCAGGAACACGTTGTGAACACGTCAGGAAGATGTAAACATGTCAGGAACACGTGAACACGCCAGGAACACGTGAACACGTCAGGAACACGAGAACACGTCAGGAACACGTCCGGAACACGTTGTGAGCACGTTGTGAACAAGTCAGGAACACGTGAACACGTCAGGAACACGTGAACACGTCCGGAACACGTTGTGAACACGTCAGGAACACGTGAACACGTCCAGAACACATTGTGAACACGTCAGGAACACGTGAGCACGTTGTGAACAAGTCAGGAACACCAGCACTGTTCTCCAGACGTTCTCCGGAACCTGAGCGGTTCCTATGCGAGGATCCCCAGAACTATGTTTTATATGAGAACATGTGTGATTTTGATGTTTTATACTTTTGTGTCTGAGTTATTTTCTCACTGGAAAATAAAACAAAGTTTGAAGCAGAACGACTCTGATCTGTCTTAGTTGATCAATTATTGACAGAATCCAATGAATAAT